AAAAAGGAATACGAGCGCTTTGATTTATGAAAGCAAATAGTTGGATCGGAGCTTAGGGACGTGTGCGAGCCCGCGTACGCATTTATGAACTCGTAACACGCCTATGTGTGTGTGTAAGCTCCAAGACGACCCTGATCTTGAACGAGATGATGTTTAATTATCGTCAGGTTCGATTATGCGCCGCGCATTATATAGTTTTATGTTTTTTTTCCTATATCGTACCAATGCTTCTAGGCTATTATCGGGTTTAAATGAATTATAATTACTTGGCGCTTTTCTTAAACATTTAATTATCGATGCGAGTTTTGTTTTGCAAAATTACGACAGTTTAAGTGTCGGATATGAAAATATGGTAGATCGAGGACATGCAATTATCAAACTTAAACTCTGTCATAATTTGACCAAGATGTGATGAATAATTTTTTCTGATCCGAAAGTCCTAGCGCGTGAAGAAAAACGGCATCATTGCATTGTATTATGTTTATGCACTTGCCTAGTGCAAGTTGAAAGCAGCGCGATGTATTCAGACGACGTCCCATAATTAAACTTCATTTGCTACGTTCCTGTATGCACTTCTTTCATAAGCTGTATAGCATGGCTACTGCGCGTGCACGAGTACAGCACGGCAGGCGGTGTGTCACGGTTTCGCGCACAATCTCGGCAATACGTTGCATTTTTATGATGGCCGATGGCCACGGAGTATACGAGTCCTGTCCTCCTTAACGCAACACAACAGTCCCTCCTTGGCAGCGTCGAGTCTGTGTAATTGTCCTGGTCGAGGCTTTCCACACACACACAAGTACGCGCTGCTCTTGTGTCGGTGTGCGCATTATGTCGAAAAACGGTATAGCGATGCCGTTTTATCGCGCGTATCCGAAAAAAAAGAAGGAGGAGCATAAAAAAATGAGCAGCGCCACAGCGAGTCAGGCGGCGTCGCTCGCGTTGCTTATTTCCTATTATATTAATCATTGCGATGCGTGCACAAGTGCGCACATAGGCAGCACAGGTAGTAGGCAGCAGAGCCGCCGCGGCGCAGTGCAAGCCCACTGAGCACGATAATACGCAAGAGCGCGGAAAATGTAGCCACTGCGATGTATTAATAATAACGTATAGCCGTGCGCGACCACTCGCAGCTATCTATATTGCGCATAGACAGATATGCGTACATGGGGATGTATGCGTGTGTGTGTGTGTGTGAGTGCACTGCGCAGGCCGAGCTCTTGCACAGGCGCATTATGCGATTTTTCTTTCCTGGAAAAAGTCGCGCTCGTGTGCCGTTGCAAATTGCTCCGCGAGAGTTAGGCGTGCGTCCGCGTTGTTAATAATATATAGCTTCGTTAATTCCGCGCGAGCTTGCTACAGTGTGTGTGTGTGTGTGCGCGCAGCGCTGTATTTTTTTTCTTCTTCTTTTTTTTTTGTAACTAGTCTCGATACTTTGGCCGCGACTCAGTCGAGTGCTCGCGCGCGCTGCACGCCTCGTGTGCATCGTTATGTATTCGCGGCTCTCTTGCCGATCGCGAGAGACACGAACAAAGTGTGTATAAATGTACACGATGGCCGTAATGAATGGAGAAAATGCTGGTCGTTGAACTACTTTATTACACGATCGCTGCGTCTGTGATGTTTTGCCGTTTTATGCCATTGTTCGCGGTGTTTGCCATCGATTTCGTCGTTGTAACGCGCGTGCGGCGGCTTCGAAACTCATTATACGCTCGCATCATCGTCCTTCACTTGCCTACGGAAAATAAATTTGTATAAAGTTTTAGTAAAAATTCATACATAATCTCTGGTAGAAATACGCAATTATAATACTGGCCTAATGACCAAAACGTGACTTTAACCGTTTCAAAAAATTTAGGCCAGTTTTGATAACTTCAAGTCTCCACCACTAGATGGCAAGTGCCTCTATTTGCAAATCCACAAGGGGAAAAGTATAAGTAAGTGTATAAATAAGTATAAGGTAAGTCGCATGCTGAAATCATGCATTACGATTTATCCTCTTTTCTGCAGTAATTTTGATATTTCGATTTATCGCTGACTCATAAAATCACAAATAAATCAGTTTCTTCCGGTACAATTTTGATCAAGTATAAGTTCAAAATCTCTATGATCACGTACTAGAAAAAACAGCAGTAGCCATCGCCCTCGGATACCCCGTTGTATCACAGACGCGCTAGCAAGCACGAGCTACGTATGGCCAAGCATGCGACAATATAGAGGGTAACTATAGTGCGTCCTTCGTTTATAAACCTCTAATTTTCTCAGACAACCGCAAAACCGCAATAATAATAAGGGCTACGCTCGCTAGATGTTGCATGGGTCTGCTAAGGCATTAATAATGCGCCATCTATCTAGCAGCTATTCTTTCTGTCTCGCTCTCTTTTTCTCTATCGCGACGCAACAGCGCCAGTGATTATGAGAAATATAAATCTTCGGAAGCTCGCCGAAACTGTGCATTTAGTCCGGATTCGAATATCGCTATAATTAGACGTTGCCATTTGATATGGGTAACTCTCTCTAAAATTCCCGCAACTTGCTAGCTTTTAAAATATCCTTATAAGTCTATTATGTAAGTTTTTGGTTCTCAATAAAAATGTCGAATCGGAAATAAACAGATTTTTACAAAATCTATAACGCATCAATTTATTTACAATCCTCATTTAACCAATAAAAAAAATCTGTTCTGGACGAAATGTTTGATATTAATGATAGGCTAATGACCAAAAACTGACTACTTAAAATGATATAAAATACAGTAGCTTTACTTGGATTGTTTTTGGCAATTTTTCAATAATAATTATATTAAAAATATTAATGGCCATATTTATTGAAAATATTTTGAAATGTCCTGAAAATGATAACTTAACTATTTTCAAAAAGGTCGACCAGTTTTCAACTACTTTAAATACGATGATACCAGTTGAAGCCTTCGCCACTAGATGGCGAGTTCTTTTATTCCAGTAAATCTGCAAGTGGTAAAGTAAAAATGATAGTTTAAATATAAGTGAAGATACTTGTTTGAATATCTTTTTGATCGATTTTTAAACGTCTGACTATTTTTCCGAAACCATGTAGTCCTACTCGCTAATATAAAACTAACTAATTTTTGTCTCGAGCGTCGATTTATTAGTGAGATATTTCCGCTGCATGATGTTAATAAGGTAATGAATCCTTTATTAACTAACAAAGTATATTTACGTGTAGCGAAGACAGTATAATGCGAGTAATCCAGAGAGTCTTTTTGTCAATACTACCAAGACATTGTTTTTTCATTCATTAATTCTCCCCTTCGAATCTCGGTGTAAGCACGCGGTGAAAAGTGATTTTACAAAACAACTTATAAAGTAGGAGAGAATATAAGGAAGACAGAGTCCACGGCAGCAGTATCAGCTCGGAGTAAAAAAAAATCACCTCACTCGGCTTGGGTCTTTCGAAAGCAGTATCGAAAGTCGTTTCTACCCCTGGCGTCGTCGCTCTGCGGACCCGTTTGCGTTTTATTTCCCATTAAAGCGACAAGTTTAATATCTCGCCGGGTATCAAAGCGGGGAAAAGACGAGTTAACTCTCTTTCTCTCACCGGCGCGCGAGGTAAGAAAAAAAGCAGAAGCGTAAAAAGGAAACAAAGGCGCAAAATTGAAGAGCGACCTCGCGCGCGAGCGAACCGAGGGTGCACAGCTAGCTACAACAGAGCCTCGCTAAAACTTTAATACAATTTCATTTGAGCATTGGCAGCGCGCGTACACCTACTACCCAAACGACCGGTGGCTTCTGGTGTAAGCTGACAAACTCTCGCGCTTGCTTTTTCACGAGCATATTTTTGCGCGCATGCCGTTGCAGCCACTCGGTAAGTTGGATTTTCTTTTTTCGCTCTTTTTCGCGTATCGAGCGAGGATTGCCGCGGGACTGCGTTCGAGCAAAGAGCCAACGAATGAAATATGCACGCTCGATCGCCGAATATGCGCTCGATTAATCGAATATGAGTCATAAAGCTGTACGCCGTGCTCAACAGTTCCATCGAGGTCGTAACACAGAAGTTGGCAAAAAAAAGGCACTTTCGCAGAAATGCCACTCTTTGTCCTCTCTCTAGAGAAACAAGAGATTCAATTTCGTTCTCTTCCTCTCTCGGCCTCTTTTCTCTTTTTCCATGCCGAGTACGTACGTACGGGCTGGCGCGTCGAGACAGTTTCTGCGCATTTTCTGAATAATGCAGCAGCACATTGCAGTTTCAGCAGTCGCGCATACGCGCTCTCTACGTGCAGAGATGTGTGGGTGGGTGGGTGCGCGCGCGCTCGGCGTTTCCCGAAGGAAATTAGGAAACGCGCGCGGAGCAAACATCGCTCGCGCGTACAAAACGAAAAGGCGAGTGGCGTGCTTATACGTACGTATACACACCTCGGAAGCCCCTTTATACATAGTGCATGCATACCCACCCGTACACATATATACTCGTACGTACTTTTCGCATGCATCGAGCTGCCAAGTCATAAGCGTATATAATATTTACGGAATAATACAGCGACGTCGAGATGCGTCTCTCTCTCTCTCTCTCTCTCTCTTTCTCCTACATTGCGTTTTGACGATGCATTTTTTTTCCTTCCACAAACGCTCCATTAGCAGATTTCATTTTTTTTTACAATAAAAAGGCGACGTGGCATACGTATCATAATTCTTAATGCACATAGTGTATACTTGCAAGTTTCATCGAAAATGAACCAGCAATTGGAAAAAAAACTTTATGTGAGTAGCCTGTATTTTATTCACGCACGAATAGAATTAATGCGGTTCAAAGTGTCAAAGAACCTTGCGTTAATGCGTACTTATTAACTTGACACGTGCCATCTAAAGACATGTCGTTTATTAAAAAATCAATACGCAAAAAATTCCACTAGCTACTTCAATGTGCAACAACTTCAACTAGCTACTTTACTCGATCGACGAAACATATGTGAAGTAAAGGTAGATCAAGCGTGACAACTTCGATGCATTCAATCCAGAAAAATCATGTCGAGAACAGGTGAGACATTTTTCAGCAAGTACTTTGACAAATTTTCATTCTATTTATTTTTCAAAATAAGGATTCGAAGAATGTGCCGGAGTGACTCAATGGTGTTTGACTTCTATTGGTTACTGGCCTGTAATCCACGGAAAACGTCATTGGTTTTTCCAAATTTTACTTCCCATTGTGACTCCTACGGCAATGATTCTGTTTGTAATTGTCCCTCAAACTGAAAATATTTACCGATTTAGGAATGACTTTAGCATTGTAATGGACACTTTGGCTGTAGCAGTTGTTGGCTGTGTTCTTTGCTTGTGGAAATTCTTGGGTTTACACTCAAATCAGAAAGGTAAGAAAATCATGATATCAACTTTGAAATAATTAAAATATCTATAGAAAATTTTTTACAGATCTGCAGATTATAATCGAAAACATCGAATTAGATTGGAAAACAGCTAATGAACACGAACAGATAATCATGTGGAAAAATGCTAAAAAGAGTAGAATCGTAACTACAATTATTCTCTCTTCTACAATTGCAAACGTATCAAATTTGCTCATGGGTGTCATCATGGGCTGTTACTATGCGGAAGCTAATAGAGTCGGAAACGGAAATATCGAGAGACCTTACTACGTTTTGTCTCATTTTGATTTTGATGCCCAAAAGAGTCCTATATATGAACTCATAGTAATCGGACAATTTTTGGGCTGTTTCTTCGCATCTCTTATACACACGGGCTATGACGGTTTGTTTGTCTTTACTATTTTACATTTTAGTGGACAACTACATAATCTAAGATTTAGCGTCGAAAATGTTGCCAAAGATTGTTTAAGAAAAAAATGTACTTTAAAAAGTCTGTTACGGCCTTTGATCCGTGCTCATCAACGTCTTGACAAGTAATTTTACATTAATTTTATTTTAATTTACCAAATTTGCAATTAGTTAAATTATTTTCAGTTTTGTTATGATAATCGAAAAAAGTTTCAATCAACTTTTCCTTGGACAGATTTTAACTTCATCGTTTCTCATATGTTTGCAGGGATATAGATTCATATTGGTGCGTGAATGATTCTCTATAATTTTTCATTCTAAAACCTCATCCATAAAGTATGAAATCTTAACATTTTTAATTTTAGTTATTATCAGAAGTGAAAACGGAAGTTGTACCTGAAATAAGTTTCCTTATTTCGTACTTTCTGAGCATTATATTGAGTATATTCATGTACTGTTACATGGCTGAGCAATTACGAATCCAGGTACTAAAGAGTCATTAATACAATCGGACCTCGTACATTATTTTTTTATATTTTAAGAATGATGAACTGTTCAAATCAATATTTAAAATGGAATGGTACGAATTACTGTGTAAGGAGACAAAATTATTAATTACTTTCATGAGTCAATCAAAGTCTGCTACTCGCATTACAATAGGAAAATTTGCAGAATTTTCATTAGAATTTTTTTGTAAGGTAGGTTTGTTTATTCTGATTACTGAAGAGAAAAACTTTCCAACTATCTCAACATACATGTATTTCATAATTTTATTTCAGATCCTAAAAAATGTGGCTGGTTATATTTCGATGTTATTGGCTTTGAGAGATAGATTTGTACATACTGATCTTATTTTAGTGGAATAAATTATTTATCAAATAACTTTGGAATGAAAAACAACTCCATTAAAGAATCCAATAAAAAATCTCCATCTAATATCATTAAACATAAATATGGAAAACGCAATTTTTCAAAGAAATTTAAAGCATCTATAATTGAGAAAAATAAAAAAAATCAACATCCTCGTATTGTATTTACAACAAACTTTGCTCGCGTATGAATTCGCAAAAGTGCCATACAAGTAAGTATAAAAGAGCCAAATCAGATGCAATGTCACTATGGGCATTTCCTTGGCACTTTTAGCCAGTCTTGGTTGTTTTGCACTGGCCACAGTCTCTAACTAATCTGATGTTGCTTCCGCGAAGTGATTTGTCGTAGTCGGTCGCGAGTGACGTGAAGTTCTCTTTCTCTTTCTCGCGTCCCTTCATTCAGCCCGCTACTACAACTACTACTGTTGCGCTGCTGCGGATGATGCTGCCGCTGCTGCTGGCACAGCTCTTGTTACGTAAAATCGCGGTAGACATCGTTTGCATACATAAAACCTGATATGGCACGGGTTGGTTGGCGAGCTCAAATGTATATATATCTATCCACGAGCGGGCGTGCAACAACTTCGAGAAGGGCATATCAATTTTTTAACGGTAGATAAGATTGTGTGTACGCATTTGTATGTTTGTACGGCGCGAGAGAGCAGGTATATCATATGCGCACACAGCGAGCGAGCTATAGGTTGGTAGGTAAAAGCGCATCCGAGTGCTAAGAAATCGATTCCGCGAAAGACACGGAGCGCGACGAGTTTGCGCGGGAGCAAAATACACGTGCACACACATACACACACAAGGGTAAATACATACAATGAAAAAGATCGTGCTCTGTGGTCGCGCGCGCGCAGCACCTTCGAGACTTGCATTAATAACAACAGCCTGCCGCGAGCTTTTATGCCAGGCCAGGTTCTCGCCTTCTTCGAACGATGTTTGGATATGATGCGTGGTATTATTGTGCACATACGTATAAATATATAACGTCCCTCGAGTCGCCACGTCTCGCGGTGATGCCCTGCTCGAGACAAGATTTTATAATCTATGTATCCTCTCTCGGTTCAAGGACTTATCGCACTTACGATTTTGCGTATTGTGTTGCAACTAGTAGACAACAAAAGAGGAGTGAAATCTTCCTGAGCACTTGAAAATTTTAGCAAAGAAATTATGGAAAATCTGTATTTTTTTATTACATTCATAATTATCGATTATTCAAAATCAATAAGTTCAACATTTTCTTTCAAAAATCTTGCCAATTAAACTATTACACTCGAGTAAAATATGAGTGTTGATATTACTTTGCTGAATAGCATGCATAACTTTCAAGTAATTAAATAATTAAGCGAGCTTGCAAAAGCTTAAAATATTTTAAATAACTTGCGAAAAGCATCGAATACTCTCAACAAGGTGTAAAACCCGTTCAGCATATAGTTTTAAATTCACGGCACTATAAAAGCGACAAATCACGTGTCACCGCCGGCAATACGTGGGAGTGACTATGCCTCCCGAGTCGTGGGCGAGCAAGTGGGATGACAAATGCGACATTGCCAATCGCGACGTTCGCATTGGCCCAGAGAAATTTTAATAAGCCGAGCCACGGATAGGCCATGGCAGTACGCATGTCTGTGTCGCGGCCGATGTCACCGCGTATAACGTTCCGGTGACACGGAGGTCGCCTGGGCGCCGTGCCTGCCTCTGGCCTCCCGTCGGGAGGACTACGTGCTGATACGATAGCTGCACGCATGCGCTTTTATAAAAAACTTCAGAGCGACGCAGCGAGTCGAGGATACGACTTCACTGTAGTTTTCGATCAGGATTAATTTACCAGTTGGAAAAGTTCTCAAGTAATTTCAATCCAGGGCCAGAAATACATTTTTGATATTTCGATTTTCTCAACTGTTTCCGAAATGGAGTTTTTTAAAATAATTTTTCTTTCTACACGTTGAAACTAAAAACTAATGGCAAAATTCATTTATTTATTTATAGCAAATTGGGAACGATTTTTATAAAAAAAAATGCAATACCCATCGAGCTATCATTTTATTCTCTTCGTCCTCTCGCAGCTTCCCTTGCAAAAAATAGATATACCTATAGCTTTCGCGTATACCAATTACAGGAGTGAAAGATGCGAATTCCCGGGAAAAGTTATCTATAACTCGACGCCAGTACGTTAGCAGCACTGTGCAGATAAATATATATGTGTGTATGTATGGTTTTCGCGCCTACAGGTATACAGATGTATGTCTATGTCGAAGGTATAGAGAAAGAGTATAGGCGTGTATACATAGATATAAATGTATGTATAACGCGCAAAGGACTGCAGGGATGAGGGAGCGAAGCAGAAGAGGAACGGCAGTGTGCGAGGTGACCCGGGCTCGGGCGACGCATTGTACAGAGTGAAAGAGAAAGAGAGAGAGAGAAAGAGAGAGAGAGAGAGAGAGCAGCAGCACAGGATCGATACGCCGGGCGTGCGCTTCTCTGGCTTTATGTCGTCAGTGCCGCCATTGGTCATACCTCGGCGCACTAGTCTGGGAGGAAAAGGAGCTAGAGAAGAGGAAAAGCTCGATATTCCTCTCCACCACAAGCTTATCTTCTCCTCTTCTCTCGCTTGGCCTCTCTATGTGCTTGCTCGGTAACTAGTCCATGGTCCTCTTCGGGTAGAAAGTGAGAGAGAGAGAGAGAGAAAGAGCTTGCAACAGAGCTTTCCCTCACTTTAAGGGCACGCGTATAGTATACACACACACACACACACACCCGTACGAGCGTACAAAAGCTCTTCCCCTTTTTCATGCTGTACTGCAGCCACTGTTGCTGCTACTGCAACAACTCTGTGATTGTAAGCTCGGCAGACTGCGAGAAAAGCTCCTTATCGCGCTGCGACCGCACAGTGAAAATCTTCCGAGTGGGCTTCCGTATTTGATCATGCTCTGTGCTTTTGGATTATCGATGGACCAAGTTTTCATATGTTAATGAAGTTGTTAATACACTGGATTATCCAACGAAAGGGTTACAAACAAAGAGTTTATAAGTTTTCGTGAAAGATATTTTTAATATCTTCTAATCAGATAAGTAAGATAGTCATGACGATGACAACAAGAAAATATCATCGATTGATAAATTCTAACATCCATTTGACGACCCCATTAAATCATTCATAAATTTAGCTCTTATTGTTCGTTTTTTAAAAAACCAACATAAATGCAAGTTCTGAAATTGCGTCAAACAGCTGAGCAATAAAAAATAAACTACGATTATTGTGTACATCACGCTCGGTACGAAGAAGAATTGTCAACGCAACCTCTTTTTCTCTCGTCTAATTGCGCCATGATCTCCCGAGTTACATTATACGTATCACATAATAATTGCCAACTCAAGTCACACTCGTCGTGGTGCGTAACTTTTTTTTCACGCGTATACATTGACGAAAACTCGAAACACACACGCACGTCATATTCATGGGAATCGCTATACGCGAAATATATGGCTACACTTATGTGCAAGATTTACTCGTTGAAGATGCGACGCTTCGATAAAGCTACCTGGTTTGGCTCGTTAATAAGCGTATATATATAAATACACCAGGATGGCATTGCGAGGATAAAAATGTAGAGAAAGTCCCACGCATGAGACTCGTGTGTAGCCGTGTGCGAGTGAACGACTGTCAACGTCCTGCGTGCAGTACGTGCAGTCGTCGTCGTCGGGTCTTCTTCCTAATAAAACTCCGCGCGACACAGGCTGAATCGAGTCCTACCGAGCGGGCAGATGAGCGAAGAAAAAAGAGTCGAACGAAGTCAGCGTAACCTGCGGAAATGCCTACTTGAATATGGATGAGCTGCCGCGACGGGGAGTGTATACGTTCGCGGCGCGCGGACACAGTCTCGTGACTGCGGCGACATAATTGCGCTTTAATTAACGCTAATATGTTAAAATCGCGACTCGATGCGTATAGCAGCAGCAACAACAACAACAACGGCATTTCTCTTTTTCTTTATCCCTCTCTTTCTCTCTCTTTCTTTCTTGGGCTGTCCACGTTTGGTAGAATATGTGTGCCGCGCGTTGCTACTGCCGCCACATCACGACGTCAAAGACTCGAGACCGAGGAAGGGGGAACAAAAGCCAGTCTCGGGTCTCAGGCGATGATTGTACGTGAGAGTGAAGAGAAAAGGTGGAGCAGCAGGTGCGACTAACTTTGATTGTATTGCAGTAAGGGGGCCCCTGCAATACGCTGCATTATACTGTAATATGCCATACATATACTCCTTGCAACAGCAGAGAGATCCTATATTATATATGGGGCTGCAAACTATCATAGCTTTTACAATTTTTTTCTTCTTCGCAGCTCCGCGATGCGTTGCAGCGAGTACACTTGCAGTCGTTTGAAACTTTTTTTTCCCGATTACTCGGCCTGTATGGCATTAATAATAAGACTCTCCTCCCCTCTCCTTCCTTTTCTGCTTTGTAATTATGGAAAAAATGGTAAATCATCGACTAACGATTGTATTATGCGACTAACGTGCTACACTGCATCAAATTATCCTCGAAAGTAACGACGGCTTTTTTCAAAATTAAATGTCGTAAAATATTCATTACGGGTCAATAATTTTTCAATCATTCGACGCACTCGTTTTCGTTAACAAGCTCAAAAAAGTCGACGGCTCGAGCCGTATGATGTGCTCCAAGCATCTAATCTTCATAATCATTTCAATTTTCATATTATATTTGAAATTCCGATTACGAGGCTATTTAATTTAACGTCGCTCATATGAAGGCCGAATTATAGCTCGAAAGAAATTACTTTAAAATTCTAAGTGTACGTTATTTGTATACAATATTTTGTCATACGTTCGAACGAAAACTTATGCTCGAATCAATTAGAAAAATTATGTTTATGTACAATACGTGTAAACAATACATCGTGGTTAATTTTCCTAAATTTTACGTCGACGCTTTAGCTGATACGAAAATTTATTTACGGTCAACGAGCGTGA